TACAGACATCGGTCTTGTTTAATATATATATATATATATATATATATGAATTTCCAATAATGGAAATTATTAATGGAACTACATTGAAATATTATATTTGAGTTTTGAAAATAGATAGTACAAGTCTTTGATTAGGAAATATAAGTATCGTACTAGTGCTTGGTTTGGTATACTCTTTATAGCTTGTTTTATTTATCATCGTAATTTAGATATGGAATTTGTCAGGTTTAAGTCTTCTTGGTGTGTTGAGAGGTCATCGACGGGGAGTTTGGTGTGTTGTGTTTTCTCCTGTTGACCAAGTAAGTTTTAACAGTGTCTAGTTTTTTAATTTATCATAAGTTTTCAATATATGCATGTGGTATTTTCATTAGATACTTATATGCATAGTATAATGAATTTTCTGAACATCTGACAGTAACCAATTTGTGTTTTGTGTTACATTTCTTCAGTGTAACACGCTAGTCTTTCTGTAACATGTTATGAGAGTACTGAGTTTTTCTGCTATAAGAATATTTCCTTAAGTACAGCAAGTTGGTATATTTTGTACCATCTCATGAAAGTAACTAGTTTTTTCTGTAACAGCTAATATCCATTAAACATTGAAGAACAGCTGTGTGATGATTACTCCAATACTAATAATTGAGAGTTATCTTGGAGATCATGAATGCTGAAAGTTTTTGATTTAACATTTTAATAATGTTCATTCAATTTCCTTTTCAGTAATGATCATTAGTGTATTTCATACCAAATAAAATGACAGAATAATGTTATGAAACATGAGAATTTATTTTTGTGAGAAGTAAAAGCAATTGCTTGTTTCACATGATATTTTCTATCTATGGATTAAAGAAATTTCAATAACAACACTCCAGTAGTTATAAATATTCAGCAACTGAATATTTGTCATAGGGGTTTTCATTCTTAAAATCCATGTTTATGAAAAATAAATCCAAAGTTTCACATTCTGTTTACATTTAATAGATCTGGTATTCATACTTTAAACAATACATAATTATTACAAACGTACTCTAGGGGACTTTCATTCCCAAAGTATTTTATGTAAAGCATCAATAAACGTGTGTGCAAAGTTTCAAGATCAAAACTTTCCTGAATTAAAGCATAATTAAATGACTGGAACTGCTTTAGCTCATGAAAAGCTGGAACCAAAAAAAAATTGCCAATTTTCAACACCAGGAGTCAACATTTGAACAATGAATTGGTGATGAGAATATACCAGTACAAATGTCACGAAACACAGCTTTTACCAGGTTCTTTCATTAGGTTGGTTCTTATGGATTATCTTGGTAAAAATAATACCAAGTCCTGTCCAATTAATGATAATGAATTTATTTATTTCTTCAATAAGTGAATATAAAATCTGATAAAGACTACGTTTACTTTTATGATAAACAAAAGTATGATGAAGTTCATAATGCATTAGTAGATAATATTATAGTTTTTTTTTAACTTTGGTTATTTTATATAGATACTAAACTGATGTTACTTTCTTGTGTGACTGTCTAGGCTGATGTTATTCTTCCTGTATGACTGTGTAAATTGATGTTACTTTTCACACATGACTTTATATTGGTGGTATACTTCCAGTGGAACTGTCCTGATTGGTGTAAATATTCCTTTGTGACTGTCTAGATTGATGTTAGTGTTTTTTCTCTGTAACTTTCTAGATTGATGTTACTTTTCCTGTTGTGACTTTCTAGATTGATATTCTTGTGTGACTGTAGGTTCTAGCAACATCTTCTGCTGATGGAACAATCAAGATCTGGTCACTGACAGACTTCACCTGTGTCATGGTATGTGCAAACAAGTGTTTTTTCTCCACTACTAAAGAGGTCCAGTGGTTATCATGCCATACTATGAATCTGTGGATACATCATTCCATTACTCCCCCCAAAAAAAAAATTTTTCTACATTATAAGAGTGATGATGAAATCCCACAATTCAGTTGGACAAGAATTTGCAGTTGGTGCTATTGACCAGTTGCCTTCCTTTAACCTATCAGTTCCACAGTAGGGATGACCGTAGCCTTATGCAAATACTTGAAAATACACAAACAAACACTAAATAGTACTAAAATTTGTGATTAAAATCATGTAAACTGCATAAAATTTGACCAATCCAGATTCAAAATCAAAGGTATATGTAAAAACAGCATTTCGGATCTGTCTTTTGTCTCCCACGAGTTACTGCCCAAGAGGCCTTTCATTGAATACTGTAACTCATCAGTTGGATGGTTGATGAGAGACAAAAGATTCCCTGAAATGCTATTTGTATATATGGTGTAGTACTTCAAAAGTTACAGTTCAGATGCACAAAGCTGCACTAGAGCTGTTTACACATAGCCTTCTCTAATTTTGAAGTGAAATACTAGAGGAAAGGCAGCTAGTCAACAGCACACATCATCAACTCTTGGGCGACTCTTTTCTGATTGAATAGTGGGATTTTGACTGTCATTCTTATACCTCCCCTACAACCTTAATTTAGGAAGCACATTTTGGCATCAATGGCACACCAATAATCCTCAGATTCAAAGTCCGGTCACGCTAACCACTAGTCCACATGCGGCTCTAAACTTTTAAGTAAACGCTTTCTTCATATAATCATAAACATTAGCTTGTAGTAACACAATTGCTTTCAAGTAAAAAAAACAAAAGTTTTGAATTCATTTTGGTTGTTTAAAATCATAAGAATGATATTTGTTTAAGAAAGTGCTGAGTACAGACAGAATTGTTTACCCCTTAGTTAAGACAGATTATGATACGAAGCCTTTCTGATGAAGTCGGAAGAAAATGGGGATCAGTATATTTGTAATAAAAGAAACTACATTTTCATACTCAATATACAATTGATAAATACAAACCTTTATGAGCCACGAAGAGAGCACCTTCTATGTTTTAACTGTGATGAAACAAGATTATCTCTAGTTAATCTTGTATCATTTTCTAGTAAAATAAATATTTGATTTCAGCATCTACTGCTACACTAACTATATTAGATTTTTCATGTTTTGTATAAGAATGAGTAAACTAGAAAGAATAACAAGAAAATTTTTAATAACACAGTTTCTCCTTTTTTTTTTCTATCTGTGGTGGTTTGCAGACTTTTGAAGGACATGATAGTTCAGTATTAAAAGTCACTTTTTTGAGCCGAGGAATGCAGCTCTTGTCAAGGTAATAAGTTTGTGTTATTCTGTTCTACAAATAATGTTTTGTTTTCTCACTTATGATACAACCCAGAGTGAAATAATTCTGGGTTTCATAGTGTTAAATGTTTTGGATTTGTGTCCTCTCAACACGCATCTCTTGGTTCAGTGTTTATATACATTTGTAGTTACACAAGTCCCAGTGTATATATATGTATATTCAGTTTTAAAATTTCCCATCCTTATTTATTATATCTTAAAAATTTTACAGTTGTCTTAATATAATTAATACTTTTACCCCACGAAGAGTAAGAATTTTGTGATGTTTGTGCTTAATGGAAGTTACATAAGATTAATCAACACTATTTCTTGAATTATATTCAAATTTGACTGACTGTTATCTAGATATGTTGTATTCATATTTTATTCAAACAATATTAAACAAAAAAGTAGTTATTTTGCTCTTCTTTTCAAGAATTGCTAATTAAAATGAATACACTAGTAAACAGAAATAATTTTGAAAAAGTAGAGTATCTCACTGATACACACAATTGAGACTGTCATAACTTAATATCAATAGTGCTGTTCGATGATCAGAATATTGTATGTAATAATTACTGCAGTGTGGCAAATGGGTGAACTTCTCAGTAAAGATTGGTAACAATTATTTGTAGTTTCTCATTTACCTGATTCTACAATCTTCTTGTTACAGTTCTTCGGATGGTAACGTCAAGTTGTGGACTATAAAAGTGAATGAGTGTGTTAAGACACTTGACGAACACACCGATAAAGTATGGGCTCTCACAGCATCCTCTAATGAAGCATTCATTGCTACAGGAGGAGCAGATTCAAACATTATTCTGTGGAAGGTACAATAATCTTTATAGCCTTGCTCTTCTTACTAGAAACTGTATTGGATCAGTAAAGATTTAAGTTACTATCATTCTTTTGGTTATGTAATGTCATACCATGTTATCAAACAGTTTGTTTCCAACTCTTTGGTAAGTTGGTTTCTTGCAGACTGTGAAATCAATAAGATAGTTATGGTGACAGTTACTAAATGTTAAATTTATTGCAAGCACTGTGAAATAAATAGTTCATGAGTTTAGATAATACGTGATAATTTTCTCTTATCAAGCCTTAATTCAGATTTGTTTTACGAGTTTGTATTTTAAAAAATAGAAATGTTTCTTTCCAGGATGTTACTGAGCAAGATAAAGAAGAAGCCAGAAAAAAGGAAGAAAGTCTTATTCTGCAGTAAGTAGGAATTATTAACTAACAAGCCAAGCTTCACTAACTAGAAAATTAAAGTTCATAGATGTCTAAAGGTAACATCAGTCAGGTATGAAATACAGTTAGAAACAGTTGCTAAGTCTGCCATTGCCTGGAGAAGAAAATATTGTATTTTTGGGAGGAAAGTCTCCTTAATATCTATTATTAACATCATCTGGAACTATCAGTGTTCTAACTATGTATAGTTTGTTCTACTACCTTTTTCTCAGTAATGTTATTTTCCAT